TGACAGGTCTTAGTTCTCATTTTCCTATTACTTTTTAATCTTACTATCCCCTTAGCACACATCCAGAGATCTTTTTTCTCATATTTGGCTTGTCTTTGCCCTTAATTTATCTAATCCATTCCAATTCCATAGCTGCTACTGGTTCCCTTTGGAGTGGGGAGATAGATTCTCTTAAATTCACTGTTAAAGACACTCATTAGTTCTTGTATCAACTACTGAAGTTTTCCAAGACTGTCCCAGGAACCCATCATATTGCATGGTTCTTCTATTGTTCCTCTGCCTGGAATTAATTTCCTTCTCACTTGACAATTCCTGCTCAGGTTTCAGTTTCCTTCTTCCCTCTTCAAGGCAGAGTTACTTTTCATTTGATTAATGTTCATTGAGTACCTGCTCTTTGCCAGTACTATTCTAGGTCTTTGGGAGGTATCTATCAATGAATTGGACAGACAAGGCCCATGCTCCTGTGCGTATATTATTGAGAGTCAAGGCATGTAAACAAGTTACCAAAGATTTAAGAGAGACTGTTGGGCAGGGGATTTAGCTCAATGGCACTGCACCTATCTCAAACGCAAGGTCCAGAGTTTGATCCCTGGTACAAAAAAAATGAATGTGCCAGGTATGGTGGTACATGCCTGTAATCTCAGCACTTGGTAGGCTGAGGCCAATCTGGGCTACATAGTGAGTTCAGAGCCTGCCCGAACTACATAGCAAGACCCTGTCTCAAAAAAAAAAAAAGAAAGTAGCACCTGCCTGTAATCCCAGCACTGGGGAACCTCAAGCAGGAGGACCACCAGTTTGAGGCCAGCCTGGGCCACACAGCAAGACCCTGTCTGAAAAATGGAAAAGGGCTGGGATGTAGCTAAGTGGTAGAATGCCCCTGGATATGGTCTCCAGTACTGCAAAACAAACAAACAAAAATGTCTAAATGAACTACATGTGGCTGAAAAGTTTTCATTCAGCTACCTGAAACTATACCCTTAACTGATCTCCCAGGTCAAATAATTTTGAGGCTTCTGTAGGCTATCTCTGTAGTCTAGTGGATAGAAGTGTAACAAAATTCTTTGTTTTCTTAAATATCCGGGTGGGTCTAGACAGAGGCGGCCACTCAGCTGCCCTGGCAGGTTCCCTTTAGGATAATTGCCCTGATCTAAGGAATGCTGACTCACTAATAAAGTTATATTGCTCTATAAAACCAAACCCTAGTGTAACTGATGAGAATGTACGTCAGGTGGAATGAGCTCCTCCTTTGGTCTTAGCAGTGGGCTTTCTTGTAATCAGCACCTGCAAAGCCTAATTAAGATCACGAGGCAAGCCAGGCGTGATGGCACACACATAATCCCAGCACGGAGGAGGCTGAGGCAGGAGAGCCACAAGTTCAAGGCCAGCCTGGTCTACATAGCTAGACTTTGTATCAAAAATATATATTATATATT